CAGATCACAACAGCGCATTACGCTAAATACACCAATATCAACATCAATACCAACATCAAATATACTCGAACGAGAACACAGTATTGGCACAAAGCCAACAGGTATGTTCTAATGATAGACACTAGACAAACATTTGTGCAGATACGCACCAAAAGGAGTTACATGGGATTCGATGTGTTCTTTCAAGCTTATCTTCTGTATCTTCTGTTGCCTTCTCAGTTCCTGCTGGTCTATCTTTATTGCTTCGTTTACGAATCCGCAGACCCGGGGTCGATGTGAAATAGACAAAGAGGGCAGAGCACAAAATTACCAACTGTTCAGTTTGTACAACCATTAACCATGCACTTTAGTGCGCCGGTTTTGGTTGTTGTCTTTTATCTACCCATTTGGATGAACAGCGGGAGAAAGACAGGAAGGCTGAAAGTAGAGTCGAACAGAAAATGCAGAATTTCATTGAACTAAGATTACAAAGAAATTGAGGAAATGCACTAACGCCATTGTTTACGACATTCAGCCATACCGATCACTGTCTCTAACCACTGGTTCCGATCATCCTGAGGTCTCCATCTAGGGAACCTAACGGGACCTAGGTGACCCATTGTCTTGTTAGGGTTTCTATGCCCTCATGCAAGGTCTCAGTTCGACCACCCTTGGCTTTGTTCCAGCCACTATCTGCCTCGGCAAACATCACTCGCTGTGGCAACCCTTTTGGTAACGCGTAACAAATGCCTCAACCAACGTTATAGTGGTCAAACACTTACTTTAGTAGATGATCGCGATTATCTAAAACTTAGCGTCTAACGTCAACATTGCTCATTGGGTTGCCCATCAGAGATTCCTGTAACGCTGCGTGGACAGCGGTGTTCAAACACCGAAAAGCCATCTTTATCTGGTTTTCTTAATGACCGAGTTTCTACGCCGTACAGCAGAACTGTCCGAACTACCGCAGCACTCACTCGACCCTTCACGTCCATCTAGTAGGGTTATTTTTGACCGGTAAACTGTCCGTCTCCGCGCCTATTTGTTGGAGTGACCTCTCCAGGGACGAGGGTGGATAGATGAAGGAAGCCAGGTGCTCAAATAACTGGTCTTGTGAGACTCAGCTTTGTGTGGCCTTTACCCATTGACCTTCCAGACACGATTTGATCTACGGCTGTGAGGAGCCGTCCTGTATAGCTCGCTCGGTCATAGGGGCATGCAATTCATCGCACCACGTAAAGGTGCAATCTCGTCGTGATGGAACTGCAAACAGGGTGAATACGGTTTATTTCCTTTGGATGCCGTTGCAGTGCGTTTGAAAATAACGCTCCCAGGGATCATATTACAGTGCTTGGAATAATAAAATGACCACTAGTGTTTGGGGCACATTTTATTGACTGTGTCTCAGAACGCCGTCGTTTTTGATAGGTTTGTGGATAAAGCAACGGTATACGTAATTTTTTTTATTACACACGAAGTGATTTACAGGAAAAGAGGTAAACCCTATAATCAATGATACACTGTAAGGGGAGGTATATGGGGGAACATTCAAGTAAGAATCAATTTGTTAATCCCGCTTTTGAAAAGGGTAAGGTTATAAGAGCGGAGAAACACGGAAATGGGAAGAGTGTTCCATAATTTCGCAGTCCTTGGGGAAAAAGAAGATTGAAATATAGAAGTCCGACATCAGGGGACAGAAACCTGATAAGAGTGACTTTTCGCCTGAGAACGAGATGAACCAGAGAAGGTCAATGGAAGGGGAACCGCTGAAGCGAGTTCGGAATAGCCGAAACCAAAATAGTAACGATAGAACAGAGATAACGAAGCAACTGCCCAGCGATCGGAAAGCGAATGCAAGGTGGAAGTTAAAGACTGTTCGTCGATCAGCCGGATGGCTTTACGCTGAACACGGACGAGGAAAGAAAGAGCGGCGTACGAAGCTCCACCCCGTAC